GCAGACTCGAAGTTGGCTGGACAAGTCCGATGTTAACCAAGTAATCCACAAAGCTGAAAGTCAGAACCAGTATGAAGAGGCAAGGGTACTATGGGAATGGATCCTAAGAGATTTCCCTCCAGTCAAAGAGATCAGGAAAGGCAGCCTCTGCAGCATGAGTTCGATCCCCGGCCAGGGAGCTACCCATATGGCGCAGCAGACCTCTCCTGTCTCGCCCACTGCTCCCCTCAGTATACTTCAGTCAATCTGCCTGTTCTGTTTCCACTCTATCTCTGGTGAATCCTCTCAACACCCCCACCCCCCACCTCTGGCCTATACCCCAGTTCTTGTATGCATAAATAAATAAATCTTAAAAAAAAAAAGTATGGAAGAGATTATGGAATTAGAGTCCCGGCTCCCAGTCATCCTGCTCCCCCAGAAAGAAGAGGGGCCCTTCTTTGCTGCTCCCCACCTAGATTTCAGTGAGCTGTAAGGGAGGGGTCGTAAGCATTTCCTAGTGGCTCAAGCAGGACCCTGCGGCACTTAGTGACCCTGTCCTGGATGGATTCCGCCCATTCCTCCAAGTCCAGAAAGGGAAACAGAGGCACAGATTGCAAAGAGGCTTAGACCCGAGATTAGACACAGAAAACAGGGCCCCACATTTGTGGCAAATCCCCCAGGGTGAGGGATTCCAGCATCTGCCCAGCTGGAGCCTCCCCACACAGAAAAGTCTTCTCCTCTGAGCTGTTCTATCATGCGCCTCCCGCTCTCGATCCAGCCCCAACCTGTCCCACTCCCTGGAACAGGAGCATGTCTGCCTCCACCTCGTCTGCCTGGAGTGTGTGTGAGGTGAGTGCGCCTGGTGTCTGCCAATCACTGTGTGGGTGGGTGTAGCAGTCTGTTTTGCAGAACCTTCATCCAGGGGCCAGGGGGTTATCTCTCCTCTGTCCACTGGGGGGCTACCAGTTTCTCATGCCCAGACACCAAGTTTCCAAGATTCTTCCTTTGCAAAGAAAAGGAATTGATTGGAGGAGAGAGCCGGCTTCTTTGTAGTTGTGCCTCCTCCAGAGCTGGCAAAGAGGTGATGGGACCAGTGGGGTTAAGTACCAGCCCTGCTCTGACCCACTTTCCTCCCTGTGCCCACATCCCCTGGGGCCAGGGTGCTGGGTGGGGCCAGCCTGGCAACCCTGCACCCACACCTGGGACTTCCCCTGGATGGAAACTCCCAGAACCCTGGTGTCCTGCCTCCCCTGCCAACTCCCACCGACAGCCTGGGATCTATTCAACTTCAGTCTGCTCCTCTTGTGTGGCAGCTCTTGGCCAGACTGCATCTCTGCCCCAGCCCCCAGGGGGCCCTGAGGATATGGGCTCACTCTCTGGGACATTCTTTGATGTTTGGCTGCCCCTTCTAGTAGACTTCTTTAAAGAAAAGATGTAGGTCTGGAGGAGGGACGTGTAAAGTTATCCTTTGTTAAGCACCTACTATGTGCCAGGCATTGCACTAGGCATATATATTGCTCCCTTAAAGCACAGTGCAGTCCAGAGAGGTGGTATATCTAGAAGAGGGAGCTGAGACCAGGGAATATAAACAACTTGCCCAATATCACACAAGAAGGCCAGAGTTAAGATGAATTGGTGGTCCAGAGCTCTCATTGCCACAGACCACCTTTTCTGAACCTCTCCATGAGATGAGAAACTTGGGAAATTTAATCCAATCGAATTCAGCAAACATTTATTGAGCATCTGCTGTTTGCTAGGTACTGACAAGTGTCAGGAATATAGAAATCCTCGAGGTCTGCTGGGAAAGAAAGGTAAATGGACTAGGAAGTATCTAACCTGAAGGATCCAATCTGAAGGAAGCTGCATGGAGCAGAAAAAGAACTGGTAGTTTTATTTTCTCTTTCTGTACAGGGTACAGCATAAACTGGAATAAAGTGAATACCAATTAAAGGCCCTCCAGATCAAGAAAGAGTGTTTTCTACACTCCAGAAACTCCTATGGGTCCCTGTACTTCCCCCATCCCCTAAAAAAGTAACCACCATCTTGATTTTTGTGATAATTATTTCCTTGTTTTTCTTCAGGGTTTAGCACATATGCGTGCATTCCTAAACAATATTGCTTCATTTTGCTGCCTTTTGAAGTTCCTATAACTGGAGTGAAACTGGCTTTCTCTTTTGTGCCTCGCTTACCTGTTCAATTTCTTTTTTTCTTAAGATTTATTTATTTATAGGGGCCTCCCTGGTGGTGCAAGTGGTTAAGACACAACCCCTGAGGCTGTCTGCAGCCTCTGCAGCACAAGTTCGATCCCTGGCCGGCCAGGGAGCAACACACATGGCGCAGCAGACCTCTCCTGTCTCGCCCGCTGCTCCCCTCAGCAGTGTACTTCAGTCCATCGACCTGTTCTGTTCCCCACTCTGTCTCTAGTGAATCCTCTCACCCCCCACACCTCTGGCCTGTACTCTAGCTCTTGTATGCATAAATAAATAAATTTTTAAATTAAATAAATTTTAAATACATAAATAAATAAATAATTCAAATAAAATAAATCATTAAATAAAAAAAAATTTATTTTTGCATACAAGAGCTGGGGTACAGGTCAGAGGTGCAGGGGGTGAGAGGATTCACCAGAGACAGAGTGGGGAGCAGACAGGCAGACCGACTGAAATACACTGCTGAGGGGAGCAGCAGACAAGACAAGAGAGGTCTACTGGGCCATGTGGGTCGGCTCCCTGGCCGGGGATCGAACTCGTGCTCCAGTGGCTGCCCATAGCTTTATAGCACTGAGACTTAACACTTTGTGCCAGCAGGAAGGCCCCTGTGTTCAATTTCTTAAGTCGTGATACAGCTTGGCTTTTGCTCTTCTTTTGTGTGGGATTCAGTTGCCTGACTGTACCCAAGTCTTTTTTTTTTTTAATTCTACTGTTGGTAGATGTTTGAGTTGTTTTTCAGTGTGGGCTATCATAATGCTGCTCAGAACATGCTTGTACAGGTGTCCTGTACAGACACACAAGAGTTTTTCTAGGCTATAAAATTAAGAGTCAAAGTGTATCTACAAGCAATCTCAAATTTTTCAGATAAGGTCAAATTGTTGTCCAAGATGGTTATACCAATCACACAGAAGGCAGAACATTTTAACTAGAGATGGGGTGGGACCCAGAAGCCCCCTATACTTTCTCACTTAAGACTTTCAGTGGTTTCCCTTTGACCTGAGACCCTGTGGGATGGGGCCTCTGCTTCGCTCTCTGACCTGTGCCCTTAGGGCTCTCTTCTTTGTACCTGCTGTCCCCCTTCTCTGGAATGTTCTTCCACTAGATTATCTCCCTTCAGGTCTTTGCTAAAATATAGTTTCTCGATGGCTCTTTCCCTGATCACTGTATTTTTTGTTGTTGTCGTTAAGATTTATTTATTTATGCATACAAGAACTGGGGTAAAGGCCAGAGGTGTGGGGGAGAGGGTGAGAAAATTCACCAGAGACAGAGTGGGGAGCAGAACAGGCAGACTGACTGAAATACACTGCTGAGGGGAGCAGCAGGTGAGTCAGGAGAGGTCTGCTGCGCCATGTGGGTAGCTCCCTGGCCGGCCTGGGTTTGAACCCCTGTTGCAGAGGCTGCAGACAGCTTCACTGTGCTCCCTTGTGCCACCAGGGAGGCTATGATCACTGAATTTTAGATTGCAAACCCCAGCATTCCTTATCCCCATCTTAGCTTACGCTTTCTCCACAGCCCAGCCACCTGGGCTGGGACTCTCCTCTCGCCTGTCAATACTCAGTAAATTGTGTCTCCCCCCAAATCCTTAAGGAGTCACTCCTGACTCTTGGGGGGCTGTCTAGCTGCCCCTTCTATGGACCCACCTGAGTCACTTTTTTTTTTTTTTAAAGATTTATTTATTTATTTATTTATTTTTATTTATTTATACAAGCACTGGGTACAGTCAGAAGCGCGGGAGGGTGAGAGAATTCACCAGAGCCAGAGCGGGGAGCAGAGCAGGCAGAAGGACCGAAGTACACTGCTGAGGGGAGCAGCGGGCGGCAGGAGAGGTCTGCGCGCCATGTGGGACCCTCCTCCGGTGGCCGGGGAGCAGCCGGGGATCGAACCGGCACCGCAGAGGCTGCGGGCAGCTTCGCAACCCAGCGCTCAACCGCTGCACCACCGGGGAGGCCCTCACTTTTTTTTTTTACATCACTGTTTCCCCCCAGCCCTACTTATGCTCTTAGATATGCTAATGTATTTGTTTACCTGTTTGGTTTTTTCCCTGCCCACCCCATCCCTCACTTTAATGGGAGCTCAATAAGAGAGGAAATGAATCTGTCTTATTCGCTGTCAAGGCATAGCCTGATGCATGACAGACCCTCAAGAAACAATTTTCCAGGCTGAATGTCAGTCTCTCAGAGACAGCCAGGAGCCCCCCACACCCACACCTGGGACTTGCCCTGCCTGGAAACTCCCAGAATCTAGGCCTTCTCCCTCCACTGCCAGCCCAGAGATTTCCCTGGCTCAGGCTCAGAGCACTTCTGCGACTGCTGCTTCCCCAACTCCCATCTGGGAACTGTCTGGGGGCCCTGAACAGACCATCAGTGCTGGGAGGCAGGGAGAAAGGTGGGGTCCGGTCCCTTACCCAGGTAGGGCCAGATGTCTAGAGTTCAACACATACTTTTTGATTAAATAAAGGGGAGGACTTGAGAGCTGCTAGGCCTCCCAGGTAGAGAAAGGGGAATGGGAGCTGGAGCAGATGGCACCCGTGTGAACGAAGGGCTGAGTGGAGGCATGAGAGCGCCTGTCACATTAGAAGAATGTGCTCTGGTCTGGTGCAGTGGGAGGGTTTTCAGTGGAGGGTAAGGTGACAGGAAAGCTCTGCTGGGCAGGCCTGGAAGGGGAAGGCTGGAGGGGGAGGTCTGAGCTCCCCACAGGCTCAGCAAGGCTCAGCAGTGTCTTAAGTTTAATCTTGCTCCACCCCTGCCCCCCACAATCCTCCACACTTACCTTCCCTTCACCCAACTCCCAGCTGGCCATTCCTGCAGCTGAATGGACTTCTCTCTGGGTCTGCGCTTGGGATCTCGGAACAAAAGGGCCACGAACCAGCGTCCCCCTGCACCCTCTGCTCAGGGCCTGCCAGTTGCTTCTTGTCCGGCCTGTGCCCTCTTTGCCTGCGCCGGCCCCTGCCCTGGCCACTCCTGCACTGCCTATCCCTCCTGCACAACGACCTGTCCCTCCTGTCCCAGCCTCCCTGGCCCACCCTGTGCCTGCCCCTGCCCTCCCTGCCCTGCGCGTCCTCCCCTGACTTGTCCCCATGTCTCCTGCATCCCGTGCTCTGGCCCCCATCTAACTTGCTGCCCCTCACCTTGCCCTGTTTTCCCTCACACCAAGGGTCGAGCCGTCTGTCTGAGCTCCTGCGTAGGCTGCTGTGACAGCTGTGTCTGTGGTCCAGGGGCTTCCTGGGGGCCTTCAGTTTCCAATGACCGCTGCTGCTGCTGCTTCAGGGGACAACGCACCTCTCAGGGGCGCTGTCTGATTGTCTAGGAGAGCTGCTGTCCGAGAGACTGTAAGAGTCCTGGAGCATGCAGGTAGCTTCTTCCTCAGGCAGGAGGCAGAAGTTCTAAGAGGAAATAGGAGAAGGATCAGCTGAGCCCCTCACTTAGGCAGGTAGAGGTAGCAGGCTGCTCAGAGCACCCCCCTCAAGACACCCTCCTCAGTCCTGGAAGTGACTGTGGGGATCTGCTTTGAAGTCAGTTTCTGGGCAGTCACCTGCTGGTTCCAGAACCTCCTCTTCTGCAACTTCTGGAATGGAAAGTGTTCTTCTCAGAGCCTCCTCTGTGGTTCCTAAAGGTGAGCAAGTTGGTCTCTCCCTTCTAGTCAGCCTCCACTGAAGACCTTTCTTGGCTCACTTTTCTGCAGTTCTGGGTAAGATGGATTCTCCCTCGAGAGGCAAAGGAACACCTTTGTCCAGGGGCAACTTCTTGCTCCTTGGGCCCCCACCCATATCCCTCATTCATCCAAGAGTCTCTGAACCCCTTACTTCTCATCTGAGCCAGGCAAAGACGGTCAGAGACTCTTGGACCAGAAGCAGAGGCTAAGCTGAAGGCTCCTGCCGTGCCCTCCCCTCGGGTGTGGTGACAATCTTCATGGTCTTTTGCATCTAGGACCCTGATGCTCCTGGCCTGGATGTCTTGTCTCTCAGATCTCTGAGTGCTGGCCCAGCCTCACGACCTCAATCTCACAGGAATAATCCTATCTGTGACATCCATGCTCATCTGGCCTGGGCGTGAAAGAAGCTGGAACACTTGACTCAGACTCCTAATGACCCATCCGCACATAACCAGTTGTAAAGTCCCCGTCTTTGAAGGTGGGACTGGGAGTTTGGAGAAGCCACCGAGAGAAAGTGAAAGACCTGAGGATCTGCCCAGGACTGATTCCTAAGCTGACGGCTCCTAAATTCCCCTCGGAATTTCTCAAGCTCTGCTGACGCTAATCTGTTTCAATCACCTTAACCTCTTTCTCTCGGACCCTTTGTTGTTTCCTTTCTGTCTCAACTGACCTTCCCTTCTGTCTTTCTCCGGCACTTTCCATTTGTTTCCTTCTTTCTATCACTGAGACATTCTTTTTTTTTTTTAACATTTATTTATTTATTCATACCAGCACTGGGTACAGTCAGAAGCATGGGAGGGTGAGAGAATTCACCAGAGCCAGAGCGGGGAACAGAACAGGTAGAGTGATGAAATACACTGCTGAGGGGAGCAGTGGGTGTGGCAGAAGAGGTCTGTCATGTGGGACCCTCGCCGGCAGCCAGGGATGGAACCGGCACTGCAGAGGTTGTGGGCAGCTTTGCAGCCCAGCGCTCAACCACTACGCCACCAGGGGAGGCCCGGGACATTCTCTTTATCTAACTTGCATTTCTATATGTTTTCGCTATTCACTGTCCTTATATTTCTTCCTCCTTTTATCTCCCCTTCTAATTTGTTCTTTTAAAAAAAAAAAGATTTTAGTTATTTTTGCATAGAAGAGCAGGGGTACAGGCCAGAGATGTAGGGGTTGGGGTGAGAGGATTCACCAGAGACAGAGTGGGGAACAGTGGGGAACAGGCAGAGCTACTGGAATACACTGCTGAGGGGAGCAGTGGGTGAGACAGGAGAGGTCTGCTGTGCCATGTGGGTCAGCTCCCTGGCTGGCTGGAACTCCAGTGGCCACAGTGGGCGGAGCGTCAGGTGGGCCATGGGGGTGACAGCGCTGAAACTTAATCCCTAGGCTACCAAGAAGGTCCCTCTCCTTCTAATTTAATATCTACTTAACCTGTATGTCTTTTTCTTCCCTCCTTCTCTGTCTCAATCTGGGTCTTCATGCCTACTTACTTCTTTGCTCTTTCAGGCCACTTCATCTCTCTGCTTGTCTGTCCTTTTCTGCTTCTGAATGCATTTCTTTCCCATCTTTTCATTTCTATTTTTCTCTGTCTTTGTCTCTCTTCATATCTTCTGTATCTAGCTGTTTTTATATTTCTTTTCTCTCTGCCTCCCCATATTGAGTCTGATATCTCCCTCCCTTTCTCTTAATCTTTCTCTGCAACCCCTCCTTACCTGGGTCCTGCAGCTGTCTGCACACTAGACCTGTGTCTTGCTCATCTCACTGATGCCAAGGGCCAAGACACCAAGCCACCCAGTGTCTGTCTGTCATACCTATATTCATGGCCTGAAGTGAGTGAGGACTGGTCACCAGAATAGTCTCTTCCTTCCCAGACCACTGTCCAGACCATCCATCCCTGCTCAGCTGTAAGTCTAAACCTTTTTAAAAATGATGCTTCTCCAAACTTCCTATTCTGAAAATTAGCAATTAAAATGAAAAAGAATTAAGCACTTATACTGCCTGTCCTATATAAATTATATTTTAGGGTCGCCAAAAGTACTAAGGGGTGGAAAAAATATTTATAGTGTGTTTCAGCAGATCTGCCTTTTCTGCTACCCACTCTGGTAGGTGAATCCTGTCTCTGGTGAATCCTCTCCCTATCTCCTGCACCTCTGGCCTACACCTGAGTTCGATGCAAAAATAAATAAAATCTTTTTTAAAAAGTATTGATTAATGTAAGAATCATCGATGGATGAAACCAAGGGTGATGTTTGATGGAGAACTGCACAATGAAGGAATCAACCTGTCACCACGTTACTCCACTGATGAATCTTAGCTTCACTAAAAGGAGCACACCACACGCCATGGATGTGAAGCAACCGGAACCACTCCCCACCTCTTTGGAAGTACGCTCCTTGAACAAAAACACAACAGAATAGGATCCTGATCAAACCTTCCATTTAAGAGGAATAACAAGAGCGGACATAACAAGGAAATAAGAAGACACATCCAGATGTGGGACACAGGAAATCTGATCCAGTTTCTTCAACTAGTCAATGGCTGGGGAAATAAAGTGAGAGGAGACATAGAAACTACGACATGGAACATGTGGACCTTGCTTTGTTTCTGGTTTGAATGACATACCTATAAAAAGGCATTGTTAGGCGGTTGGACACATCTGATTATGGATCCAGTATTTATGATGTCAAGGAAAGAGTATTGATTTTGTTAGATATAAAAATGGCTTTGTGTATATGTAAAAAAAAAAAAGTGGGGTGGTGTCCTTATTTCCTGGAGATACATAATGAAGTTTGGAATGAATTGACATCTTTAATTTTAAATATTTTGAAAAATGAAAAGGGTCAAAAAGAAAGTAATAGAAAGAAAAAACTGATGAAATCAATATTGTTGAATTAAATATGTAGGATTTTATAGAACTATGTTCTGTACCTTTGTGAATGTTTGGACATTTTCATATTAAAAAATAATATGATGCTCTTCTGCTAAGCCTGCTCCCTAGTAACTCCCAGAGCAACTTCCCCACCTGTCCTGAAAGGCAGGACTTCCAATGTGGCTCCCCACACACAGACTGTGCTCCCTGCCACTAACTGAAAGCGTGTCCTACAAATGATCATGTTCACAGGCAGCCCATTATTCCTTCCTCTGCTCTATTGGCAAATTTCCCATATTTAGGACCTCTCCCAACTGTGCTTCACAACTCTTGGAGACCAGCGACCCTTAAAGAGTAAACACATTTTGAATAGATCTGATAATAAACAAAAATAATCCTAAATAATGGGATCTTACTTTAAGTGTCTCTGTCAGATGCTTCTGCACAAAGTACAGTTCAATCATGGGAGAAAACTGGCCTCCATCCTGGAAAACAGGAAGCAAGGAATGTGAGGTCACCCTATTCCATTCCCTGCCTTCATTCAGGATAACCTTCAGCCTGGAGAAAAGAACACCACGAATTGAGAGAGTGGGTGTCATAAGTTCAAACAGCTTCAGTCTGGGACTCAGGTGGAGAGCACTTAGGTCCCTTATGCCCTTACTTCCTGAATCGCCTTGGAAAAAATCATGATTTTTTAAAAAAGATTTATTTATTTATTTATGCATACAAGAGCTGGGGTTACAGGCCAGAGATGCAGGGGGTGAGAGGATCCACCAGAGACAGAGTGAGGAACAGAACAGGCAGACTGACGAAATACACTGCTGAGGGGAGCAGCGGGTAAGACAAGAGAGGTCTGCTGCGCCATGTGGGTTTCTCCCTGGCCGGGCGGGGGAATCAAACTTGTGCTGCAGAGGCTGTGGATTGTTTCAAAGTGCGGTGCAGTGCTTAACCTCTTGTGCCACCAGGGAGGCCCGAAATCATGATTTTTGAGTCTTGGTGTTTCTAGTTAAATGCATTGGGAACCACCACCCCTTTCTCCTCTCTAGAAGTCTGCCAGTTAGGGATAAAAGAACTTGGGAATTTCTAGGCTATAAAGCTCAGTTGTTTCCTTTATTATAAGAAAGAATTTCTTGAGCTATAATCACAGGCCCTACTACTCTTTAAACACCAAGCTTTAGTATAAAGAAAACCAACATTTACTCATTACCTGTGCAGGTAGGTGAACTCATTTAAATTTATTTAAAACCGTGTGAGCATGGTATTGGAAAGATTTGGATCCCAGTTCTGACTCTACCTCTAACCGTGTGACTCTGGGCAGGCATGTTACCTAACCCTTCCAACTCTGGAGGATAATAATAGTACCTACCTTATGGGTTGTTGTGACGGTAAAATAATTCATCTACAGCAATGAACTTGGACTTCTTAAAATAGAGCTTGGGTACATAAAAAACTTTGATAAGTGTTACCAGCTTACATGGTCCAGCACGTTTAAGAGTAATTTACATGGATGAACTTCTTCATTAATTTATTCATCAAATATTTATTTAATTAAAAAAATATCAGTAACCGGGCATCCCCTGTGGCACAGCGAGTTGAGCACTGTGCTGTGAAGCTGCCTGCACTCTCTGCAGTGCCAGTATTTATGATGGCAGGCCGGCCAGGGAGATGCCCACATGGCACTGCAGACCTCTCCTGTCTCTCCCGCTGCTCCCTTCAGCAGTGTTTTCTGTCCATCTGACTGTTCTGTTCCCCACTCTGTCTCTGGTGAATCCTCTCACCCTCCCGCGCCTCTGGC